CAGGTTCTGATGATCTCCAGGCATAGATCATCACATAGAACCCATCGAAGATTAAAACGATTAAAATCAAGTACAGGTTCTGATGATCTCCAGGCGTAGATCATCACATAGAACCCATCAAGAATTAAAACGATTAAAATCAAGTAGAGGTTCTGATGATCTTGAAGGGATGAGAGCCCTACAAGTAGGAAGGGTGAAATTTCAAAAATTTCTCTCTCCCATATGGGAATCACATTCCCTGAGTCGATCACTATGGGCTCTTAATGGGTGCAACATTTACACTAAATGGTTCTTGGGTGCCGCCATCTTATGAAGGCCTAAAGACTATGGGTAGATGCAAGATTAGTCCATCAGGTATAACCCTCAATGGTCTTACACTTAACCTCTCAGCCCATAATGATCAAACACTTCCCGACAAGAGAGGACCTCTCCCTCGGGTGGAAGGTGCAGTGCTGCACTCTCTACTCACATGGATCCCGGGAATTAAAACCTTTTGCAAACATTTTGAAACTGTAATATATATATGTATATCTCCATATAAATATATTTTGCAAAAACAAATTTCAACGGTTGAAATCAACTGCCGGCAGTTTAGGTTTCCATCAGAGAGAGTGCATCCCTGATCATTCACTTTGTCCGACAAAGGGGCTGATCTTGTCACTATGATCACCCACTCAGATGAATTTTCGGACTATCCCAACATACCCAGGTTTTGATTCCCTCTAAGGTTCTCCTTGATTGGCATATCAAAGACAGCCCAATCCGGCACCTAGTGCAATATCATAATTGAGTCTAGGGGTCAGGTGTAACATTCCAGTTTTGCCCATCTATCTCCAAGGTCCAGGGCAATATTGGAATTTTGGTCTGGTTCATGGTTTCAAGAAAACCTACACTGCATGTACCTCAGATCTCACCCTAGTAGCTGAGACAAGCCACTCCAACCAACTTGGCGGTACATCAGTGTTAGCCCTGGCAGGATAAATCTCCCCAAATCTATCCAACGACTGTGAAGATTCTAAAATAACACGAGTCTCATATGTGTCAAGTTTAAGGGTATTACACAGAAACACACCATAGTAACATGAATCAAATATGTACTTTATTCATTTATAATAAATGTCACAATGTACATCATGCTGATTGGAGCTAAGGGCATACACTGTCTAACACTTCTTCCTTTTTCTTTTATGCTCTCCACACCAATCTTCTTCTCTTTTCTCTTCCCACTTGTTTCTTAATGCTAGAAATCCTACAAATCAATTAGTAATAGCCAACAAAAAAGGCATTAGCCAACAAAAAGGCATTAGCCTCTTCTCCTTGTAGGAGAGGGGTTTATATAGAGGAGGGAGGTGGTTAAGTAACTCCTCACTCCCATTTTCTTAGAGTGCCAAGTGTCACCCCACTTAAAATGGATTAAGGAGGGAAAAGAAAACTTTTCCTTCCTAAGCTGACAAGTGTCCCCCCACTTCAAGTGGTTAGGGGAGGAGAAATAACTCCTTCCTAGGGTGACATGTGTCCCCCCCACTTAAAATGTGGTTAGAGGAGGGAAAACAAATCCTTCTTCCTAGGGTGACATGTGTCCCCCACTTCAAGTGGTTAGAGGAGGGAAAACAAATCCTTCTTCCTAGGGTGACATGTGTCCCCCCCACTTCAAGTGGTTAGAGGGAAAACAAATCCTTCTTCTTAGGGTGACATGTGTCCCCCCACTTCAAGTCGTTAAAGGAGGGAAAATAGTCCTCATGTTAGAATAGGACAAGTGGCATCCCCTCATAAATAAGTTGGACACCTCATAAGAAATTAATTAAAATGGATTTATTCTTCTAGGGCCTGCTGTTCCACTAAATGGGCTCTACTGTGGGCCCATTAAATGATTATTGCATTATAAATAAGCCCAAATAACTTGGGGCCTGTTAAACTGCAGGCCCCTTTCTTTATTAAAATGTTTCAGCCCACCAATAGGACTGATTGAGCTTATAAGACAGCCCTTTTCTTTTCTTTATTATTGTTATATATATATTTAAGTTGTGACTGGAAGTATCTTAATAACCTGGTCCCAGTCCAGCAAATTTAAGGACTTAACAGTAAGGATTTTTCATTGTCTTGTATTAATCGATTACTATCCTAAAGAGCCTTCTATACGTTGTTTGCATGCAAGAAAACTTGCATGAACAGCCCTAATGTGGGCAATGAACAAAAGGAATGGGTAAAACAATACAATAAAAACAATGAAAAAGATACGAATACAACTGAAAAGTACAACTTGGTAGCAAGTTTTAAAATGTTGATGTCAATAGAAATGTTGCCAAAATATAGGACATATGTCAGGAATGTCAGGGGGAAATATTGTAAAAATTAGGGACGTTGTAGCAATATATGAAATATGTGGAAATATGCAGTGATATTAAAAGAAGCATTAGTACGCATTTCTAGACTATTTTCTTATTCCCAACAATCACGTAAAGCCAAGAAACTAAGATCATTATCAAAGTACTAAACAACGAAGTTGTCCTACAGACTTTGAAAGTAAACAATTAACACTTAAACTGCATAATTTATTATATAAATAAAAACTATGGTTTAACATCATGTCCAAACCATCACACATAGCCAAGAAACTAGGATTGATAACAAACTGATAACCAAAGAAATCCTCCTACAAGCTTCATGAGTTAACAGTGAAACTACATGATGTATTATACAAATAAAAACTAACATTAGAATGACACAAAAAGAACTTCTAGGTGGCTCAAGGTGGTCATCATCACCATTAGGTGGGTGATAATATTGTGGTTCTTCTTGTTTGCAACTTTGCAATATTGTTGCCAATTCATCATACTACTATACCACCTCTTCTACTCCTCTACACTGCATTGGCTGTTTTCTTGATCAATTCTTTGAGAAACTCCTATCTGTGGGTATTCTCCATATGCATATTGATGTCCATATCCATATCCATTACCATAAGAGGTCATGTTAGGAACTTATCCATAGAGTTTGGATATTACCCCCATCACCCCCATCACCATCACTACCCCCATCACTTCTACTTCTGTTTCTTGGAGTTACAAATTCGTCAGACCAATCTTCATCTTTATCTTTCTCAATTTGTCATTGCCTTTGATTTTGAGAAGCTATAAATTCATTTACATTAATGCGCATCTCATTGGCTATTCGAGCATTTGGCCATCCCCTTGGTCCATCTAACAAAGGCTCAGGAGATTTTATCCATTGATAGAGAAGGTTCCCTTCATCCTTTTGACATGTAAAGGTTGAAAGGATCAGCATAATTCTCTTTTCGTTATCACCTTTAAGATGTTTTGCCTTGAGCCTCAAGTTGTAGTGGACAAAAACTAATTTTTTTGAGCTTTTCATGACCCAAGTGGCTAAGCGGCTTTGTGTGGATAAGAGAGAACATGCTCCAATTTCATCACATCTTGATGATGTAGCCATTGATATCAACACACGTACAACTATACCTCTCCAAGTAGGAGCATCAAATCCATACATTATCCACCATTCAGCTGTAAATATTAATTTTTTTCATGTTAGTTCAATTGTTCAACTATATGTATAAATAGAATCATGAAGTCTAATTTAGAAAAATTAAATAGATAGTCTCTAATTGAGCTTTAAACTTGGGCATTATGATATCACCTATTTGGGTGCATTTTTGTTTTTGAGCTAATGGCAGATTGCCTATCAAATGAGACAATTGCATCCCTAAATTTTAACACCTACAAAGATGGTGTAGGTGACATCACCTGTATGGACAATTGTGTCAACAATGGATCTTGGATAGAGAAGCTTCTACAGGTCCTTCTAATTTCTCTAATAGTTGTAATTTTTGCAATGTCATGCCTGATTCTTTGGGTCTTTGGGTGTGAAGGGCTTATATGAGGATTCAGAAATTGTAGGTATAGAATAACTTGAGTTTATAATATGACCCCACTATGAATCATTTTACTAAGATAACTAAATTGAGTGGGAAAAGACCAAATTACTTCTTTACAATATAAATACTGTCACATCTGTAGTCTTTTGATGAAATATCACTATAACTGAACAAAAAGCTATGGTTCTTGGATGTACATCCTGGGTCCTGATTTTGTATCGAATTTCAGATCCTTCTTGTAGTAGGGAAGGCAAGGAGTATGCATACAGCATTGAGTTACAACTCGATGATCAGAAAAATCTGATTGCTGATTTGTTGGCTAGGGCGTGTTTGCATAGAGTTGAGATTTACTGGGACCTACTGCCTAAACCATCAGGGTAGTGCATGAAAAAGTAATCTGGAAGGGTGATCATTGTGGGTGGAGGTAGCTGAATTCCACATCTTTTTTCCCTAAATAGTATCTGTAATTCTGAGTTTCTAGACTAGAACACAATTTCTGAATTGTTCCTTACAAAATTTTTCCAATTTGGATTGTGCAGCACTCGTGAAATTAGATTTTATGATATCAAGTGTTATTTTATTCTTTCCTATGTGGCCATTGTTTAGTTAATTTCTTTTTTCTATTTTTAATTTATGTTGTTTATGAAGTTCCTTGTGTTGTGAACTTATTGTTTGTAGGTTTGGAAAAGGTTTACCCAATTTGAGCAAACATATGGTGATTTGACTAGCATGTTGAAGGTATTTTCTCTTCTCATTTTTTGTGATGCATGCCATTTGTAACCTGAAAATGAGTATGCTCACTAAAATATAATTGTGAATGATCATTATTTTTTATATAAGTTGTTCTTGGAAAATTTTCTGCTTTCCAATAATTTTGTTTTTTGGAGTGCAAATGATCAAAATATCTTATTGGGGATATGGGGCATCAACATAATAAAATATGAGGGTCATTTGGACTGGTCAAAAAGCCTTGAAACATACCTACAGTTTCAGCCTGGCTAAGCATCTTGCTAAGAGAGTCAGCCACAACAATGAACAAGGGAGGAGAGAGGGTCTCGTATATGTCTGACTTCTTCCCTAAGAAAGTGAACCGTAGCACTGGGCATGTGGTGATGCCGGAAGAACGGTGTCAGGGAAAGCGTGCACAAGCTAGTGTATGGTCCCTTACTCTACATGTGCCTCTCTGTCAACTTAACCTAGGATCTGCCTCCCCAACTAATTGAAGACAGATTTGCAATATTCTTAATAGGTACACAACCTGCGTGGGGGAATTCACCCCTATAAATAGAAGGTTTGGTCTCCCATGGAGGGGACCTTTTTCCAAGAAATCCCACATTCCATGATTCCACAGACATACTTTGGATCATTGATTTCAGGATCCGGATTCCAACCTTTAGCACTCACAGGCTGTTTCATACACATCGCAATCTTTGATTCAAAAGTGATCATGACATAAATAATTTCAGACCCATCCGCAGTGGGGAGGTGTACATGAAATCATTGCAATAAGTGTCTGTGTCTCTTCATAAGCGAGTTACAACTTCTGTTATATACTTGTGACTTATATGTATGTTTTGATCAGAAAATACAAAAAAGAACTTGAGTAGAATTAGGGTTTCCCTATTCAGGGTGTATAAGTATGCACTATGTCTGCTAAAACCCCGACTTGGGCTCTCAATGGGTTATAGTGAGTGGGGCCCACAATCTGTGGATGAGTTATGGGACCCACCCACTTCCGTTGTTCCTTCTGTTATTGTAAAAGAATTCTAATGACCCTGCTAATATTACACTGTTTTCTTCAGCTACTCCATTTTGTAGGTGTGTGCTTAGTCAAGAAAATTATGATAAATCCCATCATCATCATCATATGAGGTCAACTATGATAAATTCCATGTGTCCACAAAAACTTTTTTAAATACCCAAACCATATACCCTTCTCCCTGAATTTTGAGCATAAGGCTTTTATTTGTGCAGAAAACTGGGTAGTTACGTATGTAGAGCTCAGATAGCTGAGGCATAAAATAAATCTGGGTCTATGGAGTAACCATCCACAATTAGTATTTATAAAAAAAACCATCCCCAATTAGTATATAATATATAAAGATCAAATGAGATAAAATATCAAGTCTAGATTCAATTCAGTGAGCTATATCAATGTTGAAGACAAAACTTTGATGCCTGATTTTCCAAAAAAAAACTGATAATATGTTGACTGCTCAGAATAATCCTCAAACCCCAATAAGAAATTCCAAAAAACTGATATATATATATATATATATATATATATATATATATATATATATATATGTTTCTTATATATCTTCACGAAATGGAACACAGAAACTGGTTTCAAGTCTCATTTTTGAAAAATGATGCCTTAATTGATTTTCAGCTTTCCATGAGTTAGGGAAGTATTCCAGCCTCAATCAATCGAGTCTATAATACCCTAGATCGGAACAAACCCTCATCAAATCCATTCTACCTTAAACCAGATGAATGGTTGTAATTGATAAGAAGAGAAGATGGTACATACAAAGCTTTAACTATATTGCAAACTTTAGAATCTGAACGTTTCTGATTAATCTGGACCAATCTATCATTTATGTAGTTCTATTATATTATTGTAGGGCATTGGAAGATGGTTCCATTGGTAGGTCCATCGGAGTATTTTGAAGGCTAGGAATGCAAAAGTACCCAATATAGGGAGTAACCTTAGAGTTAGTTGACATGCTATAATTTTAGCACCAAATGAGTTCTATTTTTGCTTTCTTTTTATTTGGATAATAATTGCTGGTGTATATTTGATCCTCTAATTAGGATGAAGCTGCATCTTATTAATAGATTTTATCTATCAAAATAATTATATGTTGATGGGGATGCTGATCATGAACCTTTGCTAATAACATGGTTGTGGATGGGTTGCTCTAATAATAATTGGCTCCTTGATCATTTTTTGTTCTTCAATTCATTTTTGTAGTTTGCCTTTTTTCTCTGTATCTTTTCTCAATAATCAAATTCATCTTGGAGAATATTCTCGCAAGCATATTATTGATTTCTAAAATTATAATGGGATTGTTCTTAGCTTTCTAGACCATACAAAGACAAAGTTTTCTTTGATATAGGTTGAGCAAAGAAGGAAGGAAGCTCTGTCTAAGTCAGGTGAAGAAGGATCATCAACACTAGAAGGCTCATTGCAAGATGTTGTCTCAAGATACAGTTTCATGGATCTCTGGCCTTGCTCATCCAAGGATTTGGACCATTTGGCACGACAAGATGTACTTCATTTTTCACTCAGCTTAACCCTTTATCTTGTTGTACATAACATAATCATAGTTGTCAAGATGCCAATGTGAAGCTAGGAAATGGGGGGAGTGCTTTGTTATGTACCTAATTTTGCATTTAATCCTTCATTTGTTTCATCAATTAATACTCTGTCTTCACCAAACAACAGGCACCATTGCACTTCCTCTTGAAAATGTATACTGAATTTATCAATTATTAATGCAAAAAAAGGACCAAGACACTAAGTATAAATTGTTATATATGATGCCTTTGCAAAAACAACTAGGTGATAGGGACTTGGAAATGGAACTGCTTTTCTGTCTGTTATGTGGGTCAGTGGTTCACTTGCAGGTTAAACGGGTTAACCTGTGACGTTATAATTTAATAATGAATATATAAAAACAAAAGAATGATTATATTTATCATATTAACGATTATAAGTGTGATAAGTAATAATTATTTTTGATAAAATGGCAGAAAATACAAAAAGTAGAAGAAAAGATAATTAATACCTTGCCAATGACCCGGTGATCATGGCTGAGTGAACCGATTTTTTTAGGCAAGCAGTTCAGTAGTGAAATGGATCATGAATTCCCAAAATTAAATCCTCCCACTGACCAGAATGTCCACCCAACATGCAAATCAGCTAAGAAAATTGACCAAAAGTGAACAGAAGATAGGAGGGTCCCTGTACCTCTTTTAGTTTTGGGAATTAAAGATTTGTTAGCCATCTATCAACAAACCCTTAGATCCATCTGGGGTCATAACCTTACTGCAATTCATGTTGGTCATAAAATTAAGGGTTCATTTGGTTCACGGGAGTAGGGGTCTAGGATCAGAATTGGAATGGCCTATTCTGCTTCCAACTGTTTGGTTGGGCGGAATCAGAATCCCATTCCCATTCCTGCTGGAATGGCATTCCCGCATTTATGGGAATGGCATTCCCGCATTTATGGGAATGGCCATTCCCTCCCCCTCCTTTGGGAATGAAATCCCATTCCAGTTGATTCCAATTCCCATTTTGATTCCTGTCTGAACCAAACAGACTATAGGAGTAGAACATTCTGATTCTGATTCCGATGGTGAACCAAACGGACCCTAATTTTGAAACTTTTCTGATTTTTGGTATTTTCTGTTACATGCATATCATGGTAATTTTACTGAATATCAATGGTGTGTGTTGTAGTAGTTCTGTTATTTGTATCTTATTTTAGTTGTGTTTAAATTTCCATGGTTATATGACAAGTAGATAAAAAATTGTGATGTTTTATTTGGGATAATCTCTCTATGGAAATTCTTTAATTTGGGTGGATAGTAATTGGAGTGCTGTCGCTTATGTGTATATATGTTTTGTAAGCCATGTTTCTAACAGATAATGAATTGAAAGTGTCTTCTTGTAATATAATGGTGCAAACTGCATTGTCTCTTTTTCTTATTTCTTTTCTCTCCTCTTTCTTTCATCTAGTTCTTGTTTTTGGATCATCAAAGAAGGATTGATTTTATTAATTTGAGAGAAGATGAAGACAGATTACAACCAGCAGAAAAACACTGTCAGAGCTACATAATGATTTACCATACTGCCCAGAAAAGATTTTGTTTGCAATCTCCTTGTTGTGCTAGTGAGTCAGCCATCCCATTTGCAGTCCAAATCCAAATGAAAGTGGCATTGAGCTCCCTTGCTAAACTTTCAATCTCTCACAAGGGAAGTCTGTAGATCCAGGGAGTATTACCTCTGCAGCTAGACCAAGAAATCACCAGCTTTGAGTCCCCTTCAACCTCCATGTTTTTAAAATCTGCTTATTTGGCTAGTTTTAACCCCTGAAGAAGTGCTAGTTCTTTGTTACAGCTTTGCTAGTTTCTTCCATCTGGTTCTTTGTTACAGCTTCAATCAAGATCTTTTGGTTAGCATCTCTTCCTGCTCTCAAAAAGGCTGTTAATCCTTACTCATGACCCTCTACACAGTACAAGTTTCTTCCTTCTCTCTTTCAATTTCCATTGTTTGAATTTTCTCTGATCCTTGTTTCTTTGGAAAATTTGCCTTTTCTTCAAGATTAGTTTAGATTCCTCTGAATTTCATTTTCCCCTCATCATTCTCTATATTAATTTGTTCTAAAATGTTTTAATTCAAAGATCTACCTAAAACCCTAACATCCATTTTTTTTTTGTTTTCTTTAACAATGTATTTTCATCTTTTTGTGCCCAAACTTCCTTAAACTCCAAGTTTAATTGCTGCATAAATCTCCCTACTGTGGATCTGCATAGAAGTTCATACAAAAGTTTGACTCCTAGACATGATTTCTTGGTTCTTCTGAGTTTTATTTGTCCAAAGAGAGTGCGGCAGATTGCTGAATCTGATGTGAAAACCTTAATAAGCTGAGTTGCTTATCTTATATAGCTCCATTAAAATATCCTAAAGCTGCAATTCATCTTCTTGATTCATTCTATCAAGTTTTTTGCCCACCTATTCTCCCTAATAAATTTAGGTTATTTGCAGTTTCTTTTGCAATTAAAATTTGCTCCATGTTATTGTAACCTGACACATGAACCCTCAAAATTTGATGATGATCAATAAGTTCCATAGTCCTCATTAATAAGTCCAAGGAGATTCATTGTTAATGTTGCATCCTCCTGATGCAGATAAGGAAATAATTTGTTTTTTTTGATAAGTAAATGGTATATTTCATTAATGGAAAAACATCACACTGCTTACCAAAACAAGCGGCAGACCAAAAGGTACAACATGGCTCCCAAACTAATAGAGCTTCAATGTACATTAAGGATAACAAGGGAAAAAATTGCTGCAGATTACAGATTATAACCTGGCCCTGGGCAACCCCATTCTAGCTGTTCTCTTAACACTGCTGCTCTCACCAACAGATCTGCCAGCATATTATCACCTCTTTGTATCCATTTGAATGAGGTATTCAACTTGAGAAGCAAGCAGTGGGGATTATCCACGGAGAATTAGATCAGTTTTGCAATTCCTACACGAATTTCAGAAATTTTGAGTAATAGGATATTTGTATTTTTAATTAACTATTTAATTTTTTTAGTTGTAGGTGTATTAATAAAAAAATTCTGTTTTTTTGTGAATTTTATTGGTATTTCGGAATTACTATTTATGGTAAATTTTGGGCTTACTATTTATAGTAATTCTCATAATTACTATTTTTAGTAATCTTGCGGTTTACTATTGTTAGTAAATATCAGGTGTTGTAAATTATGTCAGTTTTAGTGGGGTTAGGATAGTGTTATTATAGTTGTTTTATGCGTTAGAGGTTGATTCTGGGTTAGTTTCTTGGTCCAAATTTGAGTCTGTAATGGGACATCCAAGTTAATAAATTGGTTTTGTAAATGGTTATTATAATTGGATTTTAAGGAGAGTTGATGTGAAATAATCTTTGGTTCAGTGAATTCTGGTTATTGGTAGAAAATTTGAATCATATCTCATTGTTGTTTACCCTAATTCTCGTTCTTTGGTCGATAGCAATCTCTCTCACTTTTCTGCCCTTATTCTTTACCCTTGACCACCCAAATCCCCTCTACCCCATAAAGCCCACCACTAGATCTTTAATTAGTTATACCCTACCCCCTCCTGCATCATCTCCTGAATGATGATTACATCCTTCATACAATTTCAATAAAGCCCAACACCACCCTTTTAGATGCATGGCAACATAGAAAAAACAGTAAACATTTAGTTTCTCACAATCCCATCCTATTGCCTTCTCATTGTTAGTTCATGCAAGAGAAAGAGAGAAAGAGATAAAACACGAGAAGAGAGACTATTTGGTTGGTCTGTCTTACTCGATCCAATCTAGAAATGTTATATTTATATTAAATGGTAAATCAAAAAGATTGTCCTTACAAAAGAAGTAAAATATAGGAATGTACAAGTCAGTACTTTAGTGTACACGCCTAATGATGTACATACAAGGAATAAAATGAAAAAACCATCCCTCTTCTCTACACTCCTCAAATTGATGCCAAGGAACAAAAATCAGCAAGTTGCAAGCTAGAAAAGACATGTGGGAGGGAAAATGACACCAAGAAGGAGATCTCTAATGAAATGGCAGTCCCACTCAATGTGTTTTGTACGCTCATGGAAGACAGGGTTGGATGCTAATGGCACTCATGCTATCAGCAAAGAGTGGAATGGAAGATGAGTAATCAATATTCATATCATGAAGCAGAGCTTTGAGCCAAATTTTCTCACTACATATAGATAGACCTATCTTCAGGCTGGGCTTTGAGCTCAACTTTATTGCCCCCAGCTTGGGCTTCGGGTTGAGCCCATTAGAATTTTGGCAAAAGTGAAACCCGAGCTTGGGCCATGATTAAGTCTACCTACAAATGACATTGCTCTATATTCTGCTTCAGTAGATGACTTGGAGATAGTTTGTTGCTTCATGCATTTACAAGAGACTAAGGAATCTCCTTGAAATATATGCCAACTGGTAGTAGACGGTAGTAGAACGGTGAGTGTTAGGATAACCCACCCATTCAACATCAGCATAGGCTCTAAGAAACGTAGTGGAAGAGGATGAAAAAAATAGTTCATGGTACATTATTCCTCTGACATAATGGATGATCAGAAGAACATCAGAGATGGGGCTGCCGAGGAGCAAACGAACTGGCTAACAATCTAAACTGCATTAGAGATGCCCGGTCAAGTCATAGTCAAGTAGATAAGACTACCCACAAGCTTCCTATACAACGTACAATCTGGAAGCAGCTAACCCTCATCTTGTTTGGAGTCAAAGCGCTATCTATACCAAATCTGAGGCATACTTGTACTGATTGATAAAGTATCCTTGAGGACACCACTGAATTTCAAGACCCCAGAAATAAGTGATTGGCCTAAGATCATTCATTTTAAAAGAGGTGTTGAGAAGGAGCTTCAAGTTATCATTACCATCCACATCATCCCCTGTGATGAGAATATCATCAATGTAGACCAAAGAGGGTCAATCCTTGTGCCCATTTTGAGAGT